GGGGCCAGAGCGGGGCCAGCTCACCAGGGTGTCCTGCCGCCCTCTCCCAGTGGCCGGTCCTGCCCGGGCTCACCTCCTTCTCCCTCTTCTCGATGAGGGCCTGCTCGTTCTCCCAGGCCGTCAGGAGCACGTCTTTGAATTCCTCGCAGACGATGTAGCCCTCGGTGCTGTGGGGACACAGTGGGGGTGACCTCCTGCTCCCCTCTGCAGGGGACATGGTCCCTCTGCGCACTCAGGGCCCTGGGCGAGCCGGTGACAGGCAGCAGAAAGGCTCTGGAAGCCGACAGGACCGCTTTGTCCCCAGACCCTGCCTGACAGACCCCCAGCTGCCGGCCAAATCCCAGGGGACACAGCTCAGTGACTAGCAAGGACACTGGCTGGCTTTGGGCACCAGCTTGTGACGACCTCTGGGGACCTAGCATCGTGAGGACGCTAATGTCCCTGGTTCTGCTGTCCCTGGGCAGCTGGCAGGACGGGGCAGGACAGGCCTGGCCTCCAATCCACAGCCAAGTCCTGCCCAGGAGAGGCCGGGCCTCCCCGCTGGCCCTCCTCAGGGCCCTCCACGCACACAGGGTGGGAGTAGCCTCCGTGGAAGTCGAAGCCCGTGACGGCCTGGACACAGTCGATGTCCAGCTTGCGGGCCACGCGGTGCAGGTTGGGCAGGTTGAGCTGGACGCAGCCGATGGGCATCATGCTGGGCAGGAAGAGGTACACGTTCCCGAACTCATTCCGCGGCACCTGCACAGGGGGCACAGCAGGATGTGGCCAGCAGTAGGACACAGCGCCTGGTCCCCAGCCCCGAGGCTGCCCGTACCTTGCCGTCCACGGCCACCGGGGGCTGGTACTCCTCCGTCTGCCAGCGGCCGAACAGGGCCAGGTCATGGTGGTCCTGCAGCTGGGGCTCGGCCTGGCGGGCCTTGCGGGCGCGGTTGGAGAAGCCCTTCACCATCTGCCCAGAGACACGGCCATGTCACGGCGCGGGCTCCCAGATGGAGCCTCGCGACAAACGTGACCTCGGGTGCCACCAGCGAGAAGCGCCCTGGGCACCTGGCGCTCTTCCTGGGGCTTCACGTTGGTCAGAAGCCCACGAGGGGGGCCCACTGCGGTCCCCACTGCACAGACGAGCAGCCCGGGGGACACGAGGCCTGATGTCACGCAGCGTGTCACGGCCAGGCCTGTGCCTCCAGCCACCCCCACTCCATCCAGCCCTCGACCACCACAGGAACATCTGGACTCAGAGGTAAGGTCACCTGCTTAAGGTGACCGTGACCATGACAAGCCACAACTCACACCCAGGTACTGTCCTCTCCATTGTCAGCCACCACATGACCCCAGGTCACCTCTGGAGGCCCGAGAGGTGCAGGGTTGCTCAGCAGAACAGGGTGGGGACAAGGGCACCTGGCACCCAAAGGGCACAGACGTGTGACAACACCTCTACCTGGAATTCTGGACATAGTCCAGCAGGGAGGAAGCAGGTGCCACAGCAGCCCTCGTGCACCATGAGGAAGGCATGGGCCTCTATATCAAAGGCAAGGGGAGGCTGGGTGGGCTGAGGGTGGGCTTCACCGGGTTGGTGCGGAGCACAGTGTTGCGTTTCGGAAAGATCCACACAACTGCGACACAGCCACCGGGTTCAGGCTGGGAAGGGAGTGAGGTTGTCCTCTGAGAGGGAGACGGGGAGGCAGGATGTGGACGGCGGGGTCAGAACAGAGCGAGGATGTGAGAGACCCGGGGTCATCCTAGGGCTGCGCTCGCACAACACAATGAAACACCCGTGACTGTCCAAACCCAGGACTGTCACGCGCACCTAGGATCAAGACATGGATGTAGCCAGGCACGGGGGGGAGCACCTGCCATCCCCGCAGCTCGGGAGGCTGAGGCAGGAGGATGGCGAGTTCTAGGCCAGCCTCAGCCAAAGGGAGGCCCTAAGCAACTCAGTGACACGTGGCCCCTCAGGACCGGCAGACGGCACCGTGCGCCCAAGCCTGCTGTCGGCAGCCCCCTGCCACCAACGCCCGCGCCCTCCCCCAAACCCGAGCCCGCCCTCTGCACCCAGCGCCCAGCCCCCAGGGCCACTGCCGGGAGCTGGCAGAGAGGTCCCTGCTTCTCTGTGGCCGTCACCACACTCTGCCAGCGTGACTGCGCTGTGTCCTCAGAAATGTCTGTGTGTGGTGTCACCTCGCTGCGCCTCGTCCCTCACGGGGGACTGGCCCACACACAGCTCCGTGGGAGAGGAAGAGGCCGATGACAGGCTGGGCCAGGGACAAAGGGACCCAGGCGCACACCTGTGGGGGCTCAAGGGCCCGGGAACAGGCACCTGCAGGGCCCAGGGCTGCCCCGGGCTCAGCTGCGCTTGGCCAGACTCTTCCCACTCCTCCCTGGTAGGTGGCTCCTCAGGGACCCTCGCTCCTGCCACGGTCCTGCCCTCCGCCCCAGCTCCGACCCGCCCCCTTCCCTGGGTCACCCAGTGTCACCTTGTACGGCACCTCTCCCAGCCGCACCACGCGGGCCTGCTTCAGCCACGTGTCCCTGGAGTGCAGCGTGTGCACACAGTCCCTAGAGGGCGACAGAGGGGACAGACGTCAAGCCAGGGCCACAGGCCACCAGGCCAGCCCAGGACCCAGCGCCTCCTGGCCCCCGTCCCCAGCCCTTTTTATATTTTATTAGAGACGGGGTCTTGCTGAGTGGCTGAGGCTGGCCTCCAACTTGGAATCCTCCTGCCTCGGCCTCCTGAGGAGCTGGGACGACAGGCGTGTGCCCCCATGTCCAGCTTCTTTCTTTATTTAAAAAAATATTGTTTCCAGTTGTTGGTGGACCCTGGTGTCATGGATTTATTTCTAGGTGGTGCTGAGGATGGGACCCAGCACCCAGCACCCCCGGGCTCTGCTCCTAAGGGGCCCGCGGAGCTGCGGGAGCCAACAGCCCCAGCCTGTCCCTGGCACAGCCCAACGGACATGACTGAGCCTCTCTGTGCCACCTCCTGGCTGGGACTGGACGTGAGGCACTGGGTCCCATCCTCAGCTCCACACAGAAGTAAATCAGTAAAACCAGGCTCCATCAACAACTGGAAACAATATTTAAAAAAAAAAAAAAAGAAGCTGGAAGCAGGGGCGCACACCTGTCATCCCAGGGGCTCAGGAGGCTGAAGCAGGAGGATTGAAAGTTGGAGGCCAGCCTCAGCAACTCAGCAAGGCCCTGAGCAACTCAGTGAGACCCTGTCTCTAAATAAAATAGAAAAAGGGCTGGGGACGGGGCTCAGGGGTTAAGCACCCCTGGGTTCAATCCCTGGTATCAAAAATAAGTACATTAAGAAAATAAATAAGTAAAGGCAACCCTATTTTCTTGGTCTTACATTAAAGCATTTTTTAAAAAAATAATCACTTTTTTCATTTGCTTTCTATTTCTCAAAAATCTTGCTTCTATTGTTTCATCATGTCCAAGTTTTATTGATATTCCTTCAGTTTTAGTTTTATATATATGTCATCCTTCATTTTTTTTTTACTCCTTTCTTTCATTGGTACTGAAGTAAACCACGTGATGTAAAACAGACCATTTGAACTCTTTGCCTTATTTTGTAGTCTTGTTCTTGGCCGTTCTGGGGCCTGAATCCAAGGGTGCTCTTCCACTAAGCTACCTCCCAGCCCTCTTGACATTTTGAGACAGGGTCTTCCTAGGTTGCGGAGGCTGGCCTCCACCTTGTGATCCTCCTGCCTCAGCCTCCCGAGTCCTGGGGTGACAGACGTGCCCCACCACAGTGGCTCTAGCTGTTTTTCATTTTCCAACCCTTTCATCCCTGGTCTGTCAACCCTCCTGGGTTCCTCCCAAGCTCTGCTCTCTTCTTCCCGGCGGGCGCAGGTACAACCGCAGCTCACCCCTCAGTGCCGTTCACTCAGCGAGATGAGCCGACGGGAACGGCCCCTGGCCCAGGGAGAGGGTGGCGGGTTCTAGACCAGCAGGAACCCCAGGAGGCCACCAGGCCACCCACGCACCTGGAGTAGACAGCTTCCCCACGACAGTAGCCCAGGACGGCCGCCGTCTCGGGGTAGATGGCCTCGTACTTGAGGAGGTGGCGCTTCAGGGCGTACAGAGGGTGGTTCTTGTAGGTGCCGATGGCTGTGGGCAGAGGCTGGCCCAGGTGCTTGGCCTGAAACTGCAGAGGCAGACAGACAGTGGTGAGGCCGAGGGGGCAGGGAGGCTGAGGGAGGCAGGGAGGCTGAGGGAGGCAGGGGAGGCCGAGCGGGGCAGGGAGGCCGAGGGGTCAGGGAGGCCAAGGGGAGCAGGGGAGGCTGAGGGAGGCAGGGAGGCTGAGGGAGGCAGGGAGGCTGATGGCGCAGGAGAGGCCTCAGCAACTTAGGGAGACCTTGTCTCAGAATGAGAAAAAGAGGGAGGGGACACTGGGTTGTAGCTCAATGGTAAAGTATCCCTAAGGCCAATACCCAGGACCACAAAATTAAAAAAAAAAGAAAGAAAGAAAAGAAAGAGGAAAAAGCTAACAGTAGTGGTAACCGTGTGGATGAGTTATTCCCTCTGTCCCTGGGCCCTGTTTCGTGAGTTTCTAGATTACTTTAAAGCTCACATGTACAATGGGACAATGACTTAAAAGCAAGCAGGTTCCATAAAGAAAACATGGTACATGTACACAATGGAATATTACACAGCCCTAAAGAAGAATGAAATGATGGCATTAGCTGGTCAATGGGCAGAGCTTCAGACGACGGTGCTGAGTGAAACCAGCTGATCCCACAAAACCCAAGGCCAGACGCTCTCTGTGATGTGTGGATGCTGACTCACACTGAGGGAGGAAGGACGGACAGAGTTCACTGGATCAGACATGGGGGAAGGAAGGGAGGGGAGGGGTGGGAATGGGAAAGACAGTCGGATGAACAGACGTCACTGTCCCACGTTCACAGAACAACACACGACCAGTGACACCCCACGTCACGTCCAACCACAAAACGGGGAGTCACACTCCGTGTGTGTATGACGTCAGGACACTCTGCTGTCATGCGTATCTACAAAGAATAAGTAAATGATAAAAAGTAAGAGCATCCAGGCTCCAAGGCGACACGGACCTGGGTTCAAACACCAAATAAGATAACAATAAAATGATCATAAAATACAATATAAAAAAAAAAGCCCTAGTCAGTCAGTCAGTCACTCAGCTCTGAAACATTCCACCAGCACAATCAAGGCTATAGCGACCCCTGCTTTCCAGGATCTGACGGGATGAGCTACGGCCCTAAGGACACCCAACACAGCACTGGGCACGTAATCATTTTAAATGGACTTAGCTGAGCACAGTGGCTTACACCTTCGGGAGGCTGAGGCAGGAGGACTGCAAGTTGGAGGCCAGCCTCAGCAATTTGGTGAGGCCCTGAGCAACTGAGCGACACCTTGTCCCCAAATAAAAAATAGAACAGGTTGGGGACGGGGCTCAGTGATGAAGCGCTCCTGGGCTCAAGAAGGGAGTGAGTGAGTGACCGCAGGCTGGAAGGCGGGCGGCGGGCCTTACCTCCGAGTCCTCCTTCTTGTCCCTGTCCAGCTGCGGGCTCTGGTAGGGCCTCAGGGTCTCGGCCCACCACTCGGGGTCTACTCGGCACTTGCGGGTGGCGGTCATCCAGGCGGGGTCATACCTCTGCGTGACGTCGCGGACCCAGCCGTCGCTGTCGATGCCCACGACATAGGCCAGGGGCCTGGTGGCGAACCTGTAGCAGGCCAGGGGCTGGCCCACCACGCCGTGCACGCAGTCCACGCACACCCACCGGGACTCGCGCTCGCAGAACACCTCCAGCCACTGGTCCACCCCGGGCGGGTCCCTCCGCGGCCTCCTCGGCCTCGCCAGCGGCCTTCTTGCCTCTCTTGCGGCTCGAGGAGGCCGACGACGCTGCCGGGCGCTGACAGTGGTCACTCTTGGGCCCAGACTTTGTCCTCCGAGGGGCGGGGGCCTTCCTCCGCTTCGGAGGGCCAGGTTCAGAGTCCTCCCCCGAAGAGCCACGGGCCTCCCCGCTGGAGAGCTCGAAGTCAGAGCTGCTGCTGGACCGGCCACTCCCGCTGTCCTCTTTGTAAGAGACCCTGGAGGTCACCCGTCGCTGACGGCCACGAGGACGCCCCTGGGCTTTCCCGGGCCGCTGCCCTTGGCTGCCCTCGGCCTCGTCGCTGGAGGAGTCGCCCCGCTTCCTGCCGGGCCTGGCCGCCTTGCTCTTCGTGGCCTTGGCCGCCCGCTGGCCGGGGCCCTTGGAAGACGCTCCCCCTGGTCCGGCTCTTGGGCTGCTCTTGGGTGCCTCTGGGTTCTCTGGGCCTCGGCGGCCGGCTTCTGAGGAGCGTCCAGCACCTTCTGCGGCCCTCTCCTTGGACAGTCCCCTTCCCTGAGGGCGACAAGGAGCTGTGGTTTCGTTGGCTTTTTCCCTATTGATCCCAGAAAGATCCCGACCTCAAACAGGGCCAAGGCGCGGCCCCACAATCAGTGCAGCGAGAGACCCCGGATCAGACACGGTGCCCCCTTAGGGCTGGACAGAGCATCAGCTCAGATCTGCACCCCTGAGACGCAGACCCCGCGATCCCTTTGTCACGCTGACTGTGGCCAGAGAAAGGGCCGGGGACTCAGGGACAGGCCCCCGGGTTTCAATGCAGGTCACGTGACTCGGGAACGTACTTCACTCCCCATCTCAGTTTGCTCTGCAAGAATCACACCCACCTCGCACACAGGCGTCCTGCAAGAACACACTAGGGACGATGGTTTTAGAAATTCAGATTACGGTCAGGCGCAGTGGCGCACACCTGCCATCCCAGTAGCTCGGGAGGCTGAGGCAGGAGGATCACAAGTTGGAGGCCAGCCTCAACAAAAAGTGAGGCCCTAAGCCACTCAGGGAGACCCTGTCTCTAAATAAAATGCAAAATAGGGCTGCGGACAGGGCTCAGGGGTCGAGGGCCCCGGGGTTCAATCACTGGTACCCCAAAACAAAGAAAAGAAAAATTCAGGGGTTATTAAAATCCACCTGTAGCCTGTCGCCCGGGGAAACGGCCCTCGGTCTCCTTCCTGCAGCACAGCAAGCCGCAGGGTCCTTGGGCGGGGGCGCAGCTCACTGCTGGAGCTCTCCCCTCGCTGAGAGAGGCCCTGGGCTGGATCCCCACCACCACCACCCCCCAAAACAGAGAGGAAAGCCTGCCATCTCCACTCGCTGCTCAGAGTGCGCGTCGCGCCACCTGGTTCACGGAACGGAAACCACGGCACCAGAGACCAGGCCTCCCACAGGGCACTCTGTGCACCAGGCACCAGGTGCCAGATGCCCACTCATGTGCCCTGTCTCCCTCCAAACTCAGGTTATACGAAGGCAGCCTCCAAAGGACTCAGCCTCCAGAATAGCAGCTCTTAACAAAACTTTATGGGGGGACAGGGAATAACAGAGATTGAATCCAGGGGTGCTTAACCCCTGAGCCCCCTCCCCAGCCCTGTTTTGTGTTTTATTTAGAGACAGTGTCTCCCTGAGATGCTTAGGGCCTCACTTTTGCTGAGGCTGGCTTTGAACTCGCGATCCTCCTGCCTCAGCCTCCTGAACTTCTGGGATGACAGGTGAGCACCACTGCGCCCGGCTCTTAAACATATAATACTGATGCTGGATGTGGTGGTGCACGCCTGTCATCCCAGAGGTTCAGGAGGCTGAGGCAGGAGGATCACGAGGTCGAGGCCAGCCTCAGCAACTTAGTGAGGCCCTAAGCCTGTCTCAAAAAAATCAGTAAAAAATGAAAAATAAAAAGACTGGGATGTGACTCAGTGGTAAGTGCCAGTAAGTTCAATACCTAATACCAAAAATCAACAATAGATAAATATGTAAATAAACGTTACATGTAAATACACACACAGCCACATGCACACACACGTATGTACTGACTGATCTTTTTTTTAACTTAACAACTTCTCACTCCTCCATGTTGCCTGTCCCTTTCTCTGGATGCCCCAGAACCTCACCTTTGCCACAGATAACTTCAGGGGAATTGGCTGGAGGGAGAGCACCAGGCGGGTCAGGAGCCGGAGCGCCCGGAGAATCAGCAGAAATATCTAGGAGGGAAAGAGAGAGCACATTATCCTCACGCGAAATTCAGGACGCAGGTGATTCCCTGTTGCTAGCGGCTCGTCTACAACAGCGAGAAGCTGGTATTTTAGTCACAGGGACAGAAAAGCCGACACACCGAGGCTCCTAAACTTCAGTACATGGGTTAACAGGCACCTTTCAGGGATAAGATCGCTATTTTTGGGGGGGG